TTGGTCCAACAAAAATGATATTTTACTTTTTACCCTGTGAATGCTGGCTAAAATGATGATGAACTCAATATTTCTTGCTTATCTTTAAGTACTTGGTAATTTAATGAATAACAAGTTATATTTTTAATTCTCTGCTATTTTGTAGGATTCGCTAAGAATCATAAGCCAGATTCTTAACTGGGCCAAGTATTGTCTTTTGGAGAAAAGTAATAACTATGTAACATTGGACATTAGAAAGAACTTCACAGTAAGGGTTGCCAGAATATGGAATGGGCTTCCACGGGAGGTGGTGCTCTCCCCTACCAAGAGGAGACTGGACAAGCACCTGGCTGGGATCATCAGACCCCAGCGCTCTTTCCTGCCCAGGGCAGGGGGTCAGACTTGATGACCAACTGACTGACCCTAACACCTATGAATCTATAAAATATGTTTTTATCATAATAAAGATATGCACTTCATTTAGCAATTAAGTGTTTTAAAATAAAGCCGAGAACACTGAAGGAACTTCTGTTTAGAAAACGTTCATTGTTAGACTCCAATATAGAAAATACCTTTGTATTGCAATAAGCGGAAAGAGGGTTATTTAATGCGATTTAAAAATCAATTTCTTAGGTATTTCTAAAAACGTATTAGATTAGATTGAAAATCTAATTGAGAAACAAGACTGTATCCCCTTATAAATGTAATTTGCTATGAACCGATTAAAAGTTTCTACTCGAAGACAGTCATCCTTGAAGAAGGGCTCTTTGTGCCCAAAAGGTTGTCTAATACCTGTCCCAACTACACATTTGGCCCAATAAAAGATATTACAAAATGTACCTTGCTTCAGAGCTCTTAGAGCACTGGTTTTCAACTTTTTTGACTTTAGACACCCCTGGGGAGACTCAAGGCACCCCTCAAAGTAGGCCAGCTATTAAATCTTACTCTCTCTCTTTTTTACTAAAAAAACAAAAAAACAAACAAACAAACAAAAAAAACCCAAGCCAACCCCAATAAATTAGTTTTTCTATTGCAAAGAGCCCAGAAAGATCACAGCTCTGGATTTCTATTTGAAATCTCTGGGGTTATCTTGTGAATCATGTTTGTAAACCTAACAGTGCTAACACTGTGTAGCATCCCATGGCACCATTGTAAGGACCTTGGGGCACCCCAGGACAATATGGCAACCTGGTTGAAAATCCATGCCTTAGAGACAGAGTTTGAAAGCCAATATAACATGAGTGCATTAACATGCATTTGCAACTTGAGCTACAGAGGGGAGCATACATTAACTGAGTATTTCTGTTAGCAGCAATCAGACATAAAATACCTGTACATGGAGCAAAATACATTGCAGAGTTTGTTATTGTTTTTTATTTAGGCAATTTTTGCCTTAATCATATCTCAAAGAATTATTGCCCCTGGAATTTAGAGCATAACCTATAAAAATCTGACCTCCTTTAAATGGTTTATATTATCATACTCTCACTTATGATATGATAAGTAGCTCCATGGTCAGCCCTTTGTGAAAATCATGGGCAGAGATTTTTAAGACTAATTTTATTTTCCATAAAGATTCACTGTATGTTCAGACTGTACCCTTTGCAAATAGCTACCATACTCAAACAGCTCATGGCAGGGAGAAGCAGTTACAAAATTTAAGAGTTTTAAATTGTAATTTTTTTAATAGAAGCAGTTACTCAATTTAAGAGTTTTAAATTGTAATTTTTTTAAAGCTCTCATGAGCTTTTATAATTTTATAGCACTTTGTGGGGACACCAAAATGCTGTACACCCAAGTATAAACCCAAGTGCCTTATAAATTATTTCATTACAAAAACCCTATACAAGCAAGATTACCAAATTTAACTGTAAAATTTGCCAATTTGGAGCAAGTGAAGACAGGTGTGAGATTACAGCTATAATAAAACTGAAATTGAACACTAAGATCTAAATTTGTAGCTGGCAATTGATTTGATTTATAAAACATAGACCACAAAAGGAGATAGATGTAAGTCAGCATCTTCAGTTGGAAACAGTGGTTTGATGAGTTGTGGTAGGTCAGGGGGAACTGCTGAATTACTTGTTTAAATCTGGTTTAGAGCTTGTGCAGCATAACTATATATTTTTGTCAAGCTTATCTATGGAGACACCATTTGCAACAAGGAAAAACTAGTTGGTCCTAGCAGATGCTACCTATGCCATATAATCTTTGGTAAAATGAACAAAAGAATGTAAAACGCATGGAGTTTCCCAGGACAAGAAGTGGTATATTATTTGTGAACATAACTGAAGCCTGTAAAATACTTAAGGTGTTTAAATGCACAGATCAATAATTAAACTGTTTTTAAGATACTAGAACACTGCATTGCAAAACTCAAATGGTAAATAAGCCTGATAAGGAAATAAAGGAAGAGCAATAAAAATATTGTCTCCAGAGTTCCTTCCAATCTGAGCAGTCTTAATGTCACCGATGGGGAAAACTTGCATAGAATAAGGAAGACACTGAACTTAATTAATAAAGACTACTTAGTTTTATAAGAAAAATTCCCAAAGTAGCCATGGCAGCTTTTGTTTGCCGTGGATTGACTGATAAACAATTTCAAAGCAGAAGTCTAGAGACTTTTTGTTTGAAATACTGTATGGCGCTCAGACTTTGGAATAGAGGCCTGACATTTGGCAAGGCGATAGACTTTGTGTCAGGAATGTACATTTTGTCATCCATATAAAAATCTGCCTAAATAAAGCCACATGATAAGCTTTTTAGAAATGGAATTTCTGAAGCCAGTGACTATCAGTCTTGTATTCAGGACACAAGAAGTGAAACAGTTCATCACATGAAAATATATACTTAAAAGGGGAGAAAGAGAGTTGCAAAAATAAATAAATAAATGCACAGGAATGGGTTTTGTTGTAACCAAGTATTTAAAGTGTGCTTTAAAGTAATTTGGGATGTAAATGTAGCTGGAAAGAGAAACTAGATCCATAATGAGAAGGGGAAAATAAAGAATGCAACACAAAGGAGAAGTAAACTACCACTAACTAGAAATGAAAATGTTTACTACTGCAAAGCAGAAAACCATTGGGTACATAAGGGCAAGGAATGTATAGGCAAGGGGTATTTTCTTGTAAAACTTTTAGTGTTTTTTTGTGGTTTGATAAAGATGCCTAGTGATTTTTTTTCTTTCCTTCTTGTTTGTTATCTAATCATTTCAAATGGGCAAATCTATTTATACTAATTTTAAAGGTACCTAGTTTTCAGTCAGGATTTTTTTCTGACCTTTAATTAACAAGTAAGAATGTTCTAAAACCACTTTTTCTGATTTGTGTTTTGTACAGTGCCTAACACAATGGCATTCTCATGTGCATGACTATGCAAGGCCCCAAGACACTAGTCTAATACCGGTAATAATTAAAGCAATAACAAAATGGCCCTTTGAAAGATGAATTGCTGTGCATTTTTATAAAGTTTTGAGATCGCTGAAAAAAAGTCCACAGCAGCATAGGTGAAATATCACAGAGGAACAAATTCAATTATTGGTGGTTTGGGGAAATTATTATGCTTTACCACAAAAATATTCCTGTTATTTAATGGAAGGAAGTAAGGGCATATTAAGGACAGCATTCATTCTAAGCAGGTATAAGTCTTTTTTTTTTTCCTTTTATATTTTTATTGCAGATAATACAAGGTCTTGATATCCGAACTCTCTGGGCACTTTGAAATTTCAGGGCCCGATTCTCATTTATGCAAAATAAGAGCAGATTAAATTATTAATACATTACATATAAACTCAGTTTGTATCCTCAAAAGTGATGCCAGGTGGCCTGGGCATAAATAAGAATCAGGTCCCCAATATTTATTTAACCCTTGGGTTTTGTACATCATTTTATTTGCACTGATTTGCAGGACCTAGTATACAGGAAGCTAAATGTTTTAAATACTTTAAAAGTAACTTTAATCACAGAAGCATGCTATTTATTTCATTTCTCCAGAGGAATAGTGGAATTTCTTTTCTTTGAACAGCCCAAGCTAAACATTTCTGACACCATAGCACAGTGTCAATTGGAAATTCACATTTCATGTAATAACAGACCATTTTAATTTCATGAGCTAAGGAATTGGCTTCCACTCGCAAATTGCACTAAGAAAGCAATATTGTCAGAAATGGCACAATGCATCAAAAGACAACTCTATTGAATTAAATAAGAGGCTTTCATTACCTTTTACACTGTGTTTTCATATAACAGAAGCATTAATTAAACCTTTCATTGCATTCTTCCAATCACTGGAGCACTTGCTGTGTTTGACAAGAAATGTTGTCCAAGAAAACATGTGGCATCCAAACATTCCTGTTAAAGTACACTTATTCAAGCAGAAAGGAGTGGAGGAGATGGAAAAGGGTGGATTTGCTACACCTGGGAAAATATATAGGCAGAAAAAAACTTGAAGAAAACACCAACTTTCTCCCCTTTCTCCTCTGCTCAGCTATTCTGCCTAATAGAGTACTGTTGGGCTCTCAAAATATATAGTCTTCTTATTTAAGATTTTGGTAGAGAGAAAGGAATGACAGCTAATTACTGGCCCTGTTACCAGCTATATTGCTCAGGACATTTCAAATTCAAGCAAAGATCAGGCAACTGTCTTCAACGTGTTTCATCTACTTGCATTTGCGGAGAGGGAACCTCCAGTTGGGAATCAGCTTAACATTAGAAGAGATTCATCCTTTGAAATACAGTTCACCAAATGGCACTGCAAAGGAAAAGTGCTCAGTACTGCGGGAAATACAGGATAGGGGTCAAGCTAAACATACTAATACAAAGTATTCCCAAGTGCAGACTCTGGAATCTGGAAAGTGGTGCAGGAGGAGAAAATCATGTGTATATCATTTCAGTTAAGCATGCACTCATCAGATAAACAAGAAGAAATACATTTCAGGAAAAAAAAATGTATATTAAATTAATGCAAACCCATGATTTATTTCCATTTGTAAATCTACAATGTCCTTTTCTTTATTATTCCAGGAGAACATTTGCGAATCTGCCCTCAGGAATATACATGCTGCACATCAGAAATGGAGGACAAGTTGAGCCAGCAGAGCAAACTAGAATTTGAAAACTTGGTGGAAGAGACAAGTCATTTTGTGCGCACTACCTTTGTGTCCCGGCACAAGAAGTTTGATGGTAGGTGTGATTATTATTTGCATACTCTTGAGAAGTTATTTCAATTCTGTTTCAGTGTGAGGGTCATTCTCATGCACTCCAAAGCTCAACAAAGGAAAGAAAAGGTTAATCCTGCATAGGGCGGTATATAATTTTTTGCTTCTAATTTTTAGGTTTTCAATTATCTTGTTGCAAGATAAACTGTAGTTTTTATTTTTTCTTATGGTAAAGCTCTGTTTATAGCCTGTAGCCTGGCTTCTTCCATATGCCAATGCTTTCCATGTGAAGTACAGTTGTCTCTCAGAAGGGTTTCCTGTTCTTGACCTCTTGAGGGCTAGTGGGCACTGTCCAGTATAGTCTACTCAGTTTTTCTCCTTGATGCACTCATTTAGAAGCTACTACCTTGCTCCCAGCCCTGTTTTCTCTTTAGTTGTCCCCCAGAATCAACTGATGTATATCTAATAGCACCCCCCTCCCCAAAACAGGGGCAGGAGGGCTAACTGTTGCTCCATGGGCATTAAGCCCAAGTTAACCCTCTGTGTCAAATTTGCCTGTTCTTGATCACCCATGTCTTAGTTACAGATGAGAAGGATTCCTCTACAAAATTTTTGTGTGGTACTCAAATGCTTTATTTCTGCAAAAATTGAGAAAGACAGATTTAGATTATTTTTCTTTCTGTTCACTGGTGTGATTTCTCCTTCCTCCAGCATAAGATGGTTTGGAAAGGGATTAGACATTTTCTTTAACAACTCATTTTCCTTAGAAATGAATATAAAGTGATTTTTTTCCTCCCCCTGTTGAAAATGTATGGCACTGGTTGTTAAATAAACCTTTCTCATTATACATTGGAGCATAGCAAATATTAAAATGACTTCTTGTTCATTCTTGTTCACTCTCAGATTTATGTATGTGTTCAAATGAAATATAGATATATTTTGAATGACTGAATGATCTACTTATTCCTAAATGTGAAAAATGTTCACCTTGCTTGTAACACAATGTGATATAGACCCAGAGGCTGCATCCAGATGAGTGTGGCCATGTGGTATGTCGCACTACAGACATGTCTGTGGCATCACATACTGCACATTCGGCCGTTCGCCACACTGCAAGGTAGAAGTGCAGGGTGGCGGCAGGGCCGCGGTGGCTGACTGCAGGAGAGCCTATATTTTTCAAAACGTAAGACCGTAGGGTCTGATAAATTGGGATTGGGACCCTATGGTTTTGATAAATTGGGATTGGGGTGTAAAGGGGTGCTTCCCAGGGTGGCTAGGAGCAGTGATGAAAGGTACTTTTGGGGGTGCTACTGCCCCAGGAAGGAAACCCAGCTAATGGGAACCTAATCTGGCCCCCTACTTTGTTCCCTCCACCCCTCTTTCTAGACCCCATGCCAGGACCCATCTATACCCTGCAACCTGGCTAGCTGGCATATGCTCTGCAGGCTGTTTCTACAGGATTGCACCCCTAGGGTTAGGAAGGTCACACTGCTGGGGTTGGAAGGTGGCGTTGGCTTGGTGCCAGTACCTGCTTTATCTTCACCTTCCCCCAGGCAGTAGAGTTCAGGGGCTGAAAAATGTATCTACACAGAAAAAGAGGGTGATGGAGGAGATACTGCATTCTGGAATGCTGGAGGATTGGAACTTGGGTGGCTCATCTATGGGGAGTGGCCACATTTTGATAGAATATGAGCTGCCCTGAAGTGCTGTAATTTTAAGCTATGTAAGGTATTATTAAAACTAGTTTCAAGGGGTGCACTGATAGAGATTTTGAGGGGCCGATACCAATAGCCAATTTTTAAGGAGGCATATCGGCTGATACCGATCCGATTTCCAATACAGCTGTGTGCAGCTGGTAAGTCTGTTGTGGTGGAAGGGGAGGTGGGAAGGAGCGAGACATGAGGATGAGGGAAGGAGTCAGGTAGAGGCAGACTGCCCAGCCAGCGTTCCTCCAGATCTGCATGGGGTGGGGTGGGCAGGCTGCAGCTGCAGGCTGGAGTGGGGCTGTAGTGGACTCTTCTTGGTGGGAGCTGGGCTCAGGGCAGGCAGTGGTGATGCTGGGAGGTGGGGATATGGCAAAATTTGGGGTGGCTGCAGCCCTCCCACATAGTCCCCTTCCAGCACCAAAACCACTGTTGCCTGCCCCAAGCCTAGCCCCCACCAAGAAGAGCCCAGCTGCAGCCCACGTGTCCCACCCCACACAGATCTGGGGGCACATGCCCCCCCCCCGGGCCCTCCTGGGGCACACACAGCAGCAAGAGCCACTTCCCCACCCCTACCCACAGGACAAGCCATGGCTCTATCCCGTGCCCCACTGTGGCTGGGCAGCATCTGCCCCTGTCCCGCTCCCTTGCTCTTTCACCATGGGGGGAGTTGATCTGTTCCCCCATGCCCCTTCCCTCCCTCCTCCCCTTCCACTAGCTGTACACCACTCTCCATGCTGCTGTGCTGTGCTTCTTGCTGCCTATGTGCTGCACTGCAGCTGCATGCACACACAAGCATTTATTGGCAAAATCATCAGCCTCATTGGGCCAACTTCTAATACAGCCAATTTTCTTTATATCAGTGCCAATTCAATATCGGACAAATGTATCAGGTACCTCTACCAGTTTTGGGTGTTAGTGTGTACAATCCAGGAGTTAAGCTCTAGGAGCCACCTAAAATTAATATGCTATAAGGCCTTTACAAGGATTTGTAGCCATCTGCTCTTGGTGTGGTGCAGATGGAAAATAATTGAAAGGGGTTGGTTCTACTAAATGAATTCTGAGTTGGCTCAGGGACAATGAGGGCTAACTTACTTCCTCTTGCCAGAGAAGAATGTTGAATGCATATGCTGTGTAGGGGAATAGGTGGACACTGAGCCAGGAGCTGGGAAGATGTACATTAGTTTTTTATTCTGCTTTAGGAAGTCAGGGGTTGGGCAGATTCTAGGTGAAAACTCTAGAGTGGAGTTTAGAGAGAGAGAAAAAAACGTGTATCTAAGACTAATACTGTTTTTTTTTTTAATCTCATTAAAATTCTTAGTTACATGTTAAGTGAATTTGAGTCATTCTGTGAGAGTTAGAGTAAAGCTGCAGTGAGATCTGAGGAAGGGTAATGTGAAAGCTTGCCTAAACCTATCCCAACCAAGCAGTTAGTCCAAAAAAAGATATCATCCACAAAAACACTCATCTTTCACTCCTGAGTAATGCAGACATTCACCACACTTGGTCTGTGGTCACAGGGATCCTGGTTTTCTTTAATTTTAAAAAATCCCCAATTTTTGGATTTAAAAAAGTAATCCCAAATCCACATGATTCTGTGATTAAAATGCAATGTTACGCTAATATATTAGCAGCATTTCATTTTAATCATGGAAAAATGTGGATTTGGGGTAAATTTTTTAAATCCAAAAACTGGGGATTTTTTTTAAATAAGAGAAAACCAGGATCCCTGATGATCACACAGCTTGCTTTAACCCACATTATCATAATTCTAAAGTGGCATGTGAAGACATTTGACAGTTTGGGGAGCCTCACTGAGAACTCGGTACAAGTAACTGGGAGTATGGGGAGGGGCCAGTAAAGTTGGGAGGGTTGGCAAGAGTGGGGGTGGGTCGGGGTGGGGGGGGCTAAAATTGCCTGTTTAGGTTTGGGGGCATAGGAAGAGCACAGCCCCAGGCTGGGGTGAGCAGATGACTTTTCCTGGCCCTACAGCTGCACGCTGAAAGTGTGCAGACATTCAATGGATAGGATTAACCTGTTCTTGATCTAAATTAATTCACCTTTTTCAGGTGAACAAACTTGGATCAGGCCCACTATTTTTGGCCTGATGTAAACTCCCCAAATCTCTGCACAGATGACATCGTGTTTTCACTGTTGACCCTGGCACGCGACAATAGGAAGAAGACTGTGTAACCTTGGTGAGGGCTAGGGGATTCTTTCCACTTCCCCCAATAGAACAGATGATGTTGCTGCGAATTTGCAATCTCCTTGAACACTTGCTGATATAACTAAGGGTGTGTAGTAGGAGTGTGCCTATAGGCTACTGTGATGCCCCCTAGTGGCTACCTCACTACTGCCCAGCTCCTGCTTTTGCCCCTCAGGGTCTCACCCTGCTTCCTTGCCTGCCAGGCCTTGATGTTAGAGGGTAATGAGGGGAGACTACCCTCAAAGGAAGGTGAGTGTAGGGTGCCCACTCCCTCTCTTTCTACTCACTGTCTCAAATGTACTTGCCTTAAGAACTAAATTTGTGGCCTCCTTCCACCCATACAGCCATGCCTCATACATAGTACAAGTTATCATTCAAGTGCAGGGCCATAGCAATGAAGTTTGGTGCCTGGGGCAAAGCCTGCAGTGGAAGCCTGCCTTCACCCCACACACAAATCTGGGGGCACCCCCCCATGCTTGCCCAGGAGTGCATGCAGCAGCAGGTACCACCCTCACCCCGTCACCATAGCCCCCCAAATGAGCTATTCACAGCTCCGTCCCATGCCCCACTCTGGCCTGTTGGTGCCCCTTTGCCTTAGTGCTCAGGGCAGTCACCTTTTTCCCCTCCAGCCCCTCGCTATGGGCAGCGTTCAAGTAGGGCCTCTCACCTCTCTGCATTATTTGGCCCTCTGGCCACAAAAGCTTTGTTGGGGCTTCAGCCTTCCTGGCTTTGGCCCCTTTTCTCTGGCTGGGTCCCCCAACCCAAGGCCCACTGTTCTGGAGCCCAGCTTCTAGGCCTCAGCCCTAGTTCCTAACCCTCTTAAAGCTCAGGCCACTTTGCTTTCAGGTTTTAACCTTCCTGCCTTTGGCCTGACTATATTTTGAGCCTAGCCCTGAAAGGGCCCAAAACACTTTCATGCTTTTCAGGCACCGCTGTGGCTTATACCCTAGATTCATAGATGTTAGGGTTGGAAGGGACCTCAATAGATCATCGAGTCCAACCCCCTGCATAGGCAGGAAAGAATGCTGGGTCTAGATGACCCCAGCCAGATGCCTATCCAACCTCCTCTTGAAGACCCCCAGGGTAGGGGAGAGCACCACCTCCCTTGGGAGCCCA